TATTGACGGGCTCCGCACGACTCCCGGCGCACAGAGAAAAGAGATACTTTTGAACTGAAAAAAGAACTTCCTTTCGTTCTCCTTCCCCACTTTCGGGTAATTTGGAAAGTCATAATTAGCTATTTTCTCTTATTAATTAGTTGCAACTAATTAGCAGTGTGAAGTTAACGGCGCGACGCCGGGGGCCGGTCGGGTCTCGAGCGCCGCCCGCGAGTTGAAGATCCGATCTCGGCCTCCGTCTGCCACACCCGCCCGTCTCTTTCGTCATTTCTAGGCGGCAGCGTTTGACGGTTCCGGTACCGCAAGAAAAAGAGAAAGAAGACATCGCAAAATAAGAATCGGCTGAGGACCTTCGAAGATAACAAGGACGGCAAAGTCATTGACGTAGAGACAATTTCAAAAAGGTGGCGATGAAACGGAAGGACAGTCAGTCGCTGGGAGGGGAACATATGGGCAGGAACAAAAGGATCAGGAAGATCCGCATTGCAAGAGAGACGAGCGAGGAGAATAAGAATGAACAATTTGAGAGCAAAACGAAACGATGACAGTGGTAAATTGGAGCATGAGTGGCTTTGGTGTGCGGTGTGGATCAATGAGAACGAGGTGGCTGGCAAGGGAGCGACATAGCGGCGAGGCGACAGGGGACGGCACTGCGAGAACGGGAGCGTGCTCCCCTGCCGCCGCCGCCGCCGTCGCACGGCACTTCGTTATCAAATGATAGAACACCATCTCTATACAAGCAATCCTTGCTCTTGAGGAAAAATGAGGGTGGAGTGGCAGATGCGAATCGCGCCCGTCCCGCGCCAGCCGCCGCCTCATTATCAGACGGCGGCGCTCGCGCGAGAGGAATGACGCGGCGTGCAGCGGCGCTGCGCCGTCGCCGCCACCCCCGCCATCTCACACGAGAGCCTCAATTACTGATTAAACAGCGGTTCGCAGAGCGTCTCGCCGGCGCGGTGTGCGGTGCGCCACGCCTAGCGATCCGCCACCGCCGCCGCCGCTGCACGTGGTCGCTCACCCCCACCCCCACGCCACCCCCGCCTCGGACGGGTTCGCGCACGCGCCGCTTGCGTCTCTTGTCGGCTGCTGGACCCGCCTTCCAGGAGTACGCGAACGCAGGAATTCGCTTAGGATACCTCCGCCTCACGACGCCAATTAACACACATTTGAGGTATTGAGGGAACAAATTACTAGGCGTGCCTCAGACATAATTGAATCTAAGTGAGTCATCAGTTTAATCCTACATGAAATCTCTCACAATGGACTTACTATAAATTTGAGTGAACTAATCGACGCATATATTTTTACTGACATTAAATTTATGGCTGACAAAACTAATTGTTCAAATAGTGAAGGTAATTAAGTCTGTTTTTATTGCTACCTTAGTTTATACATTGTCTAACCGCACTGTGGTAGATTAACGAAGTAGCTCTTTCGTACGACAAGTCATAATTATGTAACTGTCGAAATAATTCCACAATGGATACACGTGTACTCTTTAACAATTCCGTGATAAACGTGCCCCCCATCGTACGAGTCACGAGGTAACGTTCGTGATTTATGAGAGCCCTTTGACGTTTGCTGATTTCTACCGCCTTAAATTTTCAGAGACTGTCCCCATCCGCAGTGTAGTACATGCCAGGGACGGCCAACGGAGGGTTGCGCGGCGTCGTTCCCTGCCAGCGGGTCGTTTAAGAAGCTCGCGGTTATGACGCCAAGCGCCCGGACGCAAACTTTTAGATCGTAATCGTCTAATCTCGTTACCGCATATTAAAAGTCCTGAACGCAATCGATGAAGATTCCTACGCCGCACGCTATGCTCGGCCGCGGGTCGCCGCCGCGGCCGCGCCGCACTCCTGCTCGGCCGTCGGCCAGCGCAGGGCCGAGGGGGATTCACCCGCCGCAGCTAAGCCAGAGGGTGGAATACAAAAAGGTACCTCTGATGATGCCTCTTGTTATGGAACTTCTTTTCTTTTATGAATTGAGCACGAATTAAATCGTAAATGGGTGGAGAGATTAAAACACTGTATATAAAGTAGTAAGGTTTGGGCCCCTTCACTGGTTAAACGGTAATTGTCACAAGAAGATTTTTAAGAATAGTTTATTTTTCTAACAAAGAATCGTCCTGCCTTAAAATAATAAATATGATTTTATGAATACAGAGGCCGAAATATAAATTTGAATAAAGGACAGTCATTTTCCGTAAGCGACGCCGCTACTATATTTTTCTAACTCCTGTAAGCAAAACTTCACATCATCGAAGCAGCTTTCCGTATCCCTTGGGTACGATTTTGTTTGAATGAAACTAATCTAATTGCGTAGAATATCTCACAAAAACGCCATAAGTAAAATAACGATAAATATATTATCCTTTTAAAACGTTCAAGAATCGGGTGCTAGAAACGTGTTTATCGAGTGTCCCAAAACCGCCTATTGTGTGGCCCGAACCACCGGCGCTGAGCAGCCGCCGGGTCTGCCGCCGCAAGGCACAAACAATATTGGATCGGCGGCGGCACGAGCGACGGGTGCCGCGGTCAGCCGCCCCAATCTCCGGGCGGCTCCGAAACATCTGGCTGCGATCCGTCTTCCGCGCGAAGGCGGGGCGGGGGCGGGGGCACGGTTGTGTTCGACAGGGGTGGCGGCACCGCGGCGCCGCGTTAAAGCCCAAGACGACGCGTGGGCCATCTGCAGCTGTTTAAATAGCGGGACCCTCGACCGGCGGGTATCAGCCAGGGCGCCGGGGAGGGGCAG